TGGGAGGCTCCTCAGCCCCCCAAAGGAGCCTGGCAGGGCCCTGGGGGGTCCCTGAGCCCTCTGCAGTGGGCAGAGCTTGGGGACAGCAGAGGGACACGCAGGGGGCTGTCCCTGCTCCGTGTCCCGGGGCAGCTGGACAGAGCTGCCCCCAAGCCTTGCCTTGCACTGGGGGCTCTGCAGACCCCCAGGCTCACCGGGAGGGCAGGGAGGGGCTCGGGGAGGTGTCACAGCATCCCGGGCTCAGGGGCTCTGGGGCCACATGGATCTCAGCATCCAATTCCCTTCTCCTGCCCCAGCTCCCTGCAGACAGACGGGCTGGGGACAAGGCCCCTCCCATGTCCCTGTGGACACCGGGGGTGACGTTTGGGGCTCTGTCTTTCAGGACTGGAAGTGGTGGTGACACCCGTGTCCTGGCCCCCTCCAGCGGCATGAGGAGATGATCATCCCTGGAGGACCCCCCTGATCCCCTGGGTGCCCTGGCAATTTCCCTGCAAGAATCAATAAACCCCTGCAGCAAAACAAATGCTCTGTGTCTGTCTGGGTGGGTGTGTGTTCCCACCTCCACGGGTGCCTTCCCGTGTCCATGTGTGTTCCCACGTCCCCTGGGGCACCCAGTGGTTTGGGGGCACAGTGGGAAACAGGGTCTGACTGGGGCTGTCCAAGCACCGTCCCCAAGGAGCACAGCTTGGTGTCGGGGCAGGGGAGGGTCAGGGATAGTGGAGGATGAAAAGCAGGATGGGAGCCAGCAATGGGAGCTCACAGCCCACAACCCCCCGTGTCCTGGGCTCATCCCACAGCGTGGGCAGCAGGGGAGGGGGGTTCTGCCCCTCTGCTCCGCTCAGCTGAGACCCCCCCTGCAGTGCTGCCTCCAGCTCTGGGCTCCTCTGGCTGTCTGCAACGCACCCACCCGCAATGGCAATGGCTTGGGGGGATTCCCCTGCCAGCCCTGGCATCTCCTGCAGCTCCATGGGCTCCTCAGCACAGCAAAGACACGCACCTCTTGGGGCACTTCCAGAGGAGGCCACCAAGGGGACCCCAGGGCTGCAGCACCTCTTGCATGGAGACAGGCTGAGAGAGTGGGGGCTCTTCAGCCTGCAGAAGAAAAGCCTGTGGGGAGACCTCCTTGGGGCCTTCCAGTACTTCAAGGCAGCTTTTTAGAAACAGGTGGGTAAAGGGTCCAGTTGGGCCTGTCACAATAGGACAGGGAGTGAGGGAGTTAAACTAAAAGAGGGCAGGTTCAAACTAGAGAGATGGAAGATACATTTGATGATGAGAATGAAACACTGGAACACATTTGCAGTGAGGTGGTGGATGCCCCTTCCCTGCAAACTTTCAAGGCCAGGTTGGATGGGGCTCTGAGCAAGGTGATCTAGGAAAGATGTCTCTGCTCCCCCTCCAGGGGATCCCCCGCCCTGTGCTCTTGGCTACCAGAGTGATGGGCAGCTCTCAAAGGATGCAAGTGCCCAGAGAGCAGAGGGAACACACAGGACCTCTGTTAGCAGGGACATCTTCAGGTGATATGAGAATAGTTTGGATCCAACTGCAGCTGCTCCCTGAGCCACCTGCTCCCACGGGATTCCTCAGCCCTGGGCACCACGAGGCTCCTGACAGTGTCCCAGGGTCCCTTGGGTTCCATGAGCCCCCACAGTGTCCCAGGGTGCCTTTGGTTCCATGAGCCCCCACAGTGTCCCAGGGTCCCTTGGGTTCCATGAGCCCCCACAGTGTCCCAGGGTCCCTTGGGTTCCATGAGGTTCCACAGTGTCCCAGGGTTCTAAACAGGACATGATGGGGGAGGGGCACAAGATCAGGCTTGTTCCGGGAAATCTGTGGAGGGACAAGGTACCTGTGAGGGCCCCTCTGAGGTGACTGAGATGGAGCAGCCACATCCTCCTCTGGGACATCACATCCATCCTGTGACATCAAACCTCTGCTGTGATATCAAATCGTCCCTCTGACATCACGTCCTCCCCTCCTATGACATCACATATCCCCTTGACATCACGGGGAGGATGTGATGTCACATAAAGGATGTGATGTCAGAGAGGAGCTGTTATGTTGCATCTGATGCCAGAGAGGAGGATGTGATGTCATAGAGGAGATGTCGTGTAATAGGAAGGAAGTGATGTCATAGGAGAGATGTGATGTCACAGGGGAGGGTGTGCTGTCACGAGGAGATGTGATGTCACAGTGGAGGACATCACAGGGACGATATGATGTCACAGAAGGAATGTGATGTCACCTGGAAGCTGTGATGTCATAAGGGTGGATGTGATGTCACATGAAGGATGTGATGTCACAGAGAAGATGTGATGTCATAGGGGAGACGTGATGTCACAGTGGGGGGATGTGATGTCACAGGAAAGATGTGATGTCATATGATGGATGTGACGTTGTAGAGGAGATGTGATGTCATGGGGAGGATGTGACATCGCAGAGGAGGATGTGACATCACAGAGGAGGATGTGATGTCACAGGAATGATCTGATGTCATAGGAGATATGTGATGTCACAGGAAGGATGTGATGTCATAGGGGAGCTCTGATGTCACAGTGGAGCTGTGATGTAATAGGAGAGATGTGATGTCATATGATGGATGTGACATCACAGAGGAGGATGTGATGTCACAGGAAGGATGGGATGTCATAGGAGAGATGTGATATCATGGGGAGGATGGGATGTCACAGGAGAGCTGTGATTTCACAGAGGAGGATGTGATGTCACAGGGACAATATGATATCACAGGAGAGTTTGATGTCACAGGATAGATGTGATGTCATAGGAGAGATGTGATGTCACAGAGGAGGGTGTGATGTCACCGGAAGGATGTAATCTCATAGGGGAGTTGTGGTGTCACAGAGGGGGATGTGATGTCACAGAGGAGGATGTGATGTCACAGAGGGGGGATGTGATGTCACAGGAGAGATGTGATGTCACAGAGGAGGATGTGATGTCACAGGAGAGATGTGATGTCATGGGGAGGATGTGATGTCACAGAGGGGGATGTGATGTCACAGAGGGGGATGTGATGTCACAGAGGGGGATGTGATGTCACAGGAGAGATGTGATGTCACAGAGGAGGATGTGATGTCACAGAGGGGGATGTGACATCATAGAGGAGCTGTGATGTCACAGAGGGGGATGTGATGTCACAGAGGGGGATGTGATGTCTGTGGTACTTTAGGCTGGGCCTTCCTTCATGACCAGTCTGTAACCCAGGCAGTGCCCAGATTTCCCCGCTATTCCCCACGGTTTTTACCTAAGCCGGGCTATAAGAAGAAAGGAGGAGAGGCCTTTGCCCTCTTTCCTTCCAGCTTTGGAGGTGCAGGTTCCCTGTGTGGAGTCTGTCGGGTTGGGGAGCGAGGCCTGGTAAGGCCCTGCCGACCTTGGCAGACGGAGGGTGCCGGGGTCGTTCCAGAGCCACTTTCTGTTGTGCCAAGGAGAGCAGTGGGATATCCTTTGCTAATTCTTTTAGTTGTTAGATCTTGGGAGAGTGATCGTGTATATTTTATTTTGCTTTTGTTCCTTTTTTTCCTTCCCCTTCCCTTTCCCCTTTCCTTTTGAAATTGTACATATATTTCAATTGTATATAAGTGTAATATAAGTGTAAATATATTTATATTTATATATATATTGCTTCAGCTGTCTCTCTCTCGTTTTAGTTCTCTTGTTTTTTCTCTCTTCTCCCTTGGTTTTGGGGGGGGAGCTCTTGTGGTGAGGTTTGGAGACTTGGCAGGGAGCCAGCTTCAAACCACCTCAATGGGATTTGTTATTATTTGGGATTTATTTGGCATTTGGGATTATACGGGATTGGGAATTCTTGGGGATTTAGGGGTTATTTGGGATTTGGGAACACCTGGGATTTGCTATTATCTGGGATTTGGGAATATATGGGATTGGGAATTATTGAGGATTTGGGATTTATTTGGGATTTGGGAATTATTGAAGATTTAGGGGTTTATTTGGGATTGGGGAATATATGGGATTTGCTATTATTGGGGATTTAAGGGTTATTTGGGATTTGGGAACTTCTGGGATTTGCTTTTATATGGGATTTGGAACTACATGGGATTGGGAATCACTGGTGATTTAGGGTTTACTTGGGATTTGGGGTTATTTGGGATTTCGAACCACATGGGATTTGGGATTTGAGTTTGGGGACCATTTGGGATTTGGGATCATTTGGGACTATTTGGAATAATTTGGGACTGTTTGGGACCATTTGGGATAATTTGGGATTGATGGGAACCCACGGATATTATGGATTAATTAGGGGTTAATGATTTACCCACAGCTATTATGGGCTAATTAATTATTAACATGAACCCCGGGCATTATGTGCTAATTAGGGGTAATTCTGGGGGATTTTGCCTCTAAAAACTCCAAAATTTGGCATCCAGAAGGTTTATTTTTGTCGTTTTAGAGGAGGTTTAAGGCAGAAAAGATGGAGGATTTGGCTCCACCCTCTCTTAACTCCACCCCTCCCGGATTTTGGGGACACCTCCCAAAACTCTTGGGGGGGTTTGCCTCAGAAAACTCCAAAATTTGAGGCCCAAAATGTTTATTTTTGTCGTTTTAGAGGAGGTTTTAAGGGGGGTAGGGTCAAGAGGGGGCAGGGCCACATCTGACCTCGCCCCCCGAATTTTAGAGACCCCTCCCAAACCCCCACCCCAAAAATTTGGGGTCTCCACCCCAAAAAAACCCCAAATTTGGGGTCCAAAATGTTTATTTTTGTTGTTTTAGAAATTTAAGGGAGGGGAGGGGTGGGCGTGGTCTCGGTGGGCGTGGCCAATAAACATCTCCATGGCAACAGCTCCGGGTGGTTTTTTGGAGGGGCTTCCACCCCCCTCCCTCGACCCCCCCCCAAGTTTTGGGGTTCCCCCCCATATTTTGGGGGAGCCCCTCCCCTACTTTAGGCCCCTCCTCCCCAGTTTTGGGACCCTCCCCAATTTTTGGGACCCCCTTTTGTCCCCCATCCAAATTTTGGGGTCCCCTCCCCCCAAACTCGGGGCCTCCCCCCCATCCCAACCCCCCAAATTTTGAGGTCTGCCCCTCCCCCCCATTGGGGGGACATCGGGGGGAGGGGCTGGATCCGTCACATGAAGAGACCCCCTGGAATGAGAGAGGGAAAGGGGGGACATTGGGGGGACACTGGGGGGACATTGGGGGGACATTGAGGGGACACTGGAGGGACGTTGGGGACACACTGGGGGGTCATTGAGGACACACTGGGGACACATTGGGGACATGGGGGGTCCCCACCTGTCACCTCCAGGGTGGCCCCGGTGACGTAGCCGCTGTCCCCCGACGCCAGGAAAGCCACCACGTCTGCCACGTCTGGGGGACACCGGGGGGTGGTGGCACCTCCAAGTGTCCCCAAAGTGTCCCCAAAGTGTCCCCAACTCACCCTCAGGGTCCCCCAGTCGTCCCAGTGGCACCATCCCTGCGAACTGAGAGGGGGACACACACACACACACACACAAGGGTCACCTCTGGTGTCACCTCCCCAGTGTCCCCCCTAAGTCCCCAATGTCCCCCAGTGTCCCCCAATGTCCCCCCAATGTCCCCAATGTCCCCCAATGTCCCCCACTGTCCCCCCAATGTCCCCAGGAGGTGCCACCCCCCCGCTGTCACCTTGTCCAGCACTTTTGGGGGCACTTTGTCCGTCATGGGGGTGACGATAAATCCCGGCAGGACGGAATTGCAGCGGATCCCAAACCTTGGGGGAGGGATTTGGGGGGGGTCAGAGGGGTCCCTCCAACCCATGTCACCCCCCCCCAGGGTGTCACCGACTCCCCCCCCGGGTCACCAAACCCCCCCAATCTCATTTTCCCCGATTTCCCCCCAATTTTTCCCCATTTCCCTCCAAATTCCCCCCTTTTTCCCCATTTCCCAATTTTCCCCCCAGTTTTCCCCATTTCTTCCCCCTTTTCCCCCCAATTTCCCTCCAAATTCCCCTGATCCCCCCTCCAATTTTTCCCCATTTCCCTATTTTCTCCCCAGTTTTCCCCAGGTCTTCCCCCTTTTCCCCCCAATTCCCCAATTTTCCCATATTTCCCTCCAAATTCCCCCTTTTCTCTCCAATTTTTCCCCATTTCCCCCTTAAATTTTCCCAATTTCCCCCTCAATTTCCCCCCATTTCTTCCTCATTTTCCCCCAATTTTCCCCCAATTCCCCATTTCCCCCCAAATCCCCCAATTTTCCCCCAAATCCCCCCAAAATCCTCCAAATTTTCCCCCCAGTCCTCCAACTTTTCCCCATTTCCCCCCAAATTTCCCCACTTTTCCTCCAATTTTTCCCCCGAATTCCCCCCAAATCCCCCAATTTTCTCCCTTTCCCCCCCATTTTCCCTTGTCCCCTCCCAAATGTCCCCAAATGTCCCCAGATGTCCCCCAGTGTCCCCACCTGGCCACCTCCTTGGCCACGCTCCGGGTCAGCCCCTCCACCCCCCCCTTGGAGGCCCCGTAGTTGGTTTGGCCCAAATTCCCCACCTGGGGGGGAGGGGACAATGACAAAGGGGAGGGGACACCCCTGGGACCCCCCTCGGTGTCCACAGCCCCCCCCAGTGTCCCCAAACCCAACCAATATTCGTGTTTCTGGGGGGTTTATCCCCAATTTTGGGGGGGTTTATCCCCATTTTGGGGGGTTTATCCCCAATTTTGGGCAGGGGGGAGGGGACAGTGACAAGTGACAATGACAAAGGGGAGGGGACACCCCTGGGACCCCCTCCAATGTCCCCAAATCCCCCCCAAAATTGGCGTTTTCAGGGGCTTTATCCCCATTTTTAGGGCTTTTACCCCCATTTTGGGGACACTGACCGTGACAAGTGACAATGACGGTGACAAGTGGGGGTCCCACCTTGGCCACCACGCTGCCCACGAGGACCAGGGAGGCCCCCCCGGGGTCCCCCGATGTCACCAAGGCCTTTGTCACCTCCTGTGTCACCAGGAACGTCCCCTGGGGGGGCAGCGGGGGGACATCGGGGGTGGCACAACCCCCCCAATGTCCCCAATGTCCCCCAATGTCCCCCAATGTCCCCCCAATGTCCCCCAATGTCCCCCAATGTCCCCAATGTCCCCCAATGTCCCCAAATGTCCCCAATGTCCCCAATGTCCCCCAATGTCCCCCCAATATCCCCCAATGTCCCCAATGTCCCCCAATGTCCCCCAATGTCCCCAAATGTCCCCTAATGTCTCCAAAGTCCCCAAATCTCCTCAACATCTCCAAATCCCCCCAATGTCCCCAAATCCCCAAATCCCCCCAATGTCCCCAATCCCCCCAATGTCCCCCAATGTCACCCAAAGGTCCCCAATGTCCCCAATGTCCCAATGTCCCCCCATGTCCCCCAAGTCCCCCCCAATGTCCCCCCAATGTCCCCCCAATGTCCCCCAATGTCCCCAATGTCCCCCAATGTCCCCCCAATGTCCCCAACATCCCCAATCCCCCCAGTGTCCCCAGTGTCCCCTCTCACCTCCAGGTTCACCCCCAGCACCTCCCGGAATTCCCGCTCTCCCATCTCCAGGAACATCCGGTCGCGGGTGATCCCGGCACAGGACACCAGGACACGGGGGGGAACCCCAAAGTGCTCCTGGGGGGACATTTGGGGACATCGAGGGGTCATTTGGGGTGAATTGGGGAGGATTTGGGTCCATTTTGCGTGGATTTGGGTGGATTTGGGAATCCTGGGGTGGATTCAGGTTGGTTTTGGGCAGATTTGAGGGAGGTTTTCTTGGGATTTGGGTCCGTTTGGCTGCAATTTTCCAGGAACTTGGTGGGGATTTGATGGAAATTTGGGGAATTTGGGGGGAACTTGTGGGGATTTGGGAGTTTTGGGGGTGATTTTGGGGTGGATTTGGGTCTGGGTTGGGTGGATTTGGGAATTCTGGGGTGGATTTGGGTTAATTTAGGGCAGATTTGGGGGTTTTTTCCTGCAATTTGGGGGCATTTGGCTGCAATTTCCCAGGAATTTGGTAGGAATCGGATGGAATTTTGAGGAAATTTGTGAGTTTTGGGGAAATCATGGGGATTTGGGAGCTTTGGGGGTGATTTTGGGGTGGATTTGGGTCTAGTTTTGGGGATTTGGGAATTCTGGGGGGAATGCGAGGGAATTTGGGTCGATTTTGGAGGGAATTGTGGAGGTTTTCCTGCAATTTGGAGATGGCTGGCTGCGATTTTCCAGGAATTTGGTGGGAATCGGATGGAATTTTGGGGGAGTTTGTGGGAATTTGCAAGTTTTGGGGGAATTTGTGAGTTCTGGAGGTGATTTGGGGTGGATTTGGGTCTGGGTTGGGTGGATTTGTGGGGATTTGGGAATTCTGGGGGTGATTTGGGGAGGATTTGGGTCGATTTTGGGTGGATTTGGGGGGGCTTTTCCTGCAATTTGGGGCCGTTTGGTTGCGATTTCCCAGGAATTTTGTGGGAATAGGAAGGAATTTGTGGGAATTTGTGAATTCTGGGAGTGATTTGGGGTGGATTTGGGAATTTTGAGGGCGACATTGCGGATATCGGGGGTCACTCAGGGACACTGCGGGACACTGGGGAGGGTGTGACGCTATCGCGACATGTCACCGGTGGGGGGGAGGCGGCGACATTACCTGCACCCCCCTCACCATCCCGGCGACGCTTTTGGGATCGGCCACATCCGATCCTGGAAAGCTCCGTGGTCGGGGGGGCAGTTCCGGGGGAGCCCTTTCGCTGTCGCCGCCACCCCCGACATGTCGCGATCGGCCACGGCCACGCGCGCGCCCTCGCGGGCCAGGCGGCCGCTCACGGCGCGGCCGATGCCGCTGGCGCCCCCTGGCGGTTCGGAGGGCCAATGAATAACCGGGGCCATTGAGGGGTATGGGAACCGCCCCTGGCGCCCCCTGGCGCCCCGGAGGACCAATGACTGCCCGATGGCACCAGTGGGGACCACTTTAACCAGTGACCCCTCCCGGTGTCACCAATAACCCCCCCAGTGTCACCAGTGGGGTCTGTGACCCCTCCCAGTGTCCTCCCAGTGTCACCAGTGGGATCTAGTGTCACCAGAGGGGTCTGTGACCATCCCAGTATCACCAGTGTCACCTTTAACCCCTCCCAGCGTCCCTCCCGGGGGTCTCCCCGCCCTAAGTCCCCCCCCACTCCTCCCCTGCGGGTCTCCCCTTCCCTCTCGCCCCCAAAACACCACAAAACTCCCCCAAATCCCCCCCCAAAACCCACCCGTGACCAGCGCCACGACCCCCACCAGTCGCCCCGCCGAACTCCCCAACATGGCGGCGCCGGAAGTGAACACCGAGACGGAGGCGCGCACGCCGCGCCGCTCTGCCCGCACCAACTCTATCGTCAGTCCTCCAGCCGGAGTTTTTCGGCTTTGCCCGGGTTTTTTTCCCCCTTTTCCCTGATTTTTCCCCTCCCATAAACACCTGAATCCCCTCGTGGCATCGCCAAGTCCTGGATTTCACCCTCTGGGTGTGCTGACAAACAGGGAGACCACAGCAGGGGGAGGGAGGCCCGTGGAAAAGGCTCTAAAAAACCCTCCCCGAAGTTCACTCCCTCTGCTCTCTGCACTTTGGGGTTCTGGGGGTCCCCCCGTTCAGACTGTTGCAGGTCCCTCGTGTTTTGGGGGTCCCCTCTCCGGGGTTCTGCCTTTTCCAGGCTGCTGCAGATGCCGGGAATCCCAGGGGTCCCCCCTCTCGGAGCCCCCTCTTTCAGGGGCCGGGGGTCCCCGGCCCCCCCACCCCTCTGGGCTCCCCGGCCCCCCCACCCCTCTGGGCTCCCCCTCTCCGCGCTTCCCCTCCCGCCCCCCCAGGCTGCCGGGGGTCCCCCAGCTCCGCTGTCGCCCCTCTCTGCTCTCCCCACTCCGGGGGCCCTAAAAAAGGGGCTCGTCGCGTCCCCCCCCGCCGGCACCGGGCTGACAATGGGGGCGGCGGGGCCTGACCCCGCAACACCGACCCCCACCGCGGGGGGTCCCCGCATCCCCCCGCCCACCTCCCGCCTCTGCCGGGAACCCACCCCGGGATCCCCCCCAACAAAACCAAAACACCTCCCGGGGACCCCCCGAGGTCCCCCCGAGGGCCATTTGCGGCTCAGTCCCAAACATCCCCCCCAAAACCCCCCGCACACCCCCAACCCATCGCAGCCGAGCTCCCCCTCCCCGCCCGCTCAGGGGGGCGATGCTCCTCCTCTTCCTCCTCCTTTGCCTCTGCCCGCTCCTCCTCCCCCCGCTCCATCCCCCGAGCCGGGAGCTCGAGGTGAGTTGGGGGGCCCCGATGGCAAAGGGGCAGAGGGGAAGGAGAAGAGGGGCTGGGAGCCCCAAAGTGAGCGAGAGAGGGGGTGGGTCACTGCCAAAGCAGCGGGGGGCGACGGGCAAAGGGGGGGAGAGGGGAAGAAGGGGAGGTGGGAGAGCGGCAAAGGGGTTCCCGTGGGGGTCCCTTCGTGTCCCCACAGCTCGATCCCTGGAGAGGAGGGACCCCCGGGCCCCAGCGGCTGATGGGGGCCGGGATGTTTGTTGGGAATTCCCGGCAGGCCGAACAAAGGCCCCGGCCACGCGTCGGGAACTCTTTGATTGTCCCCAACGGTGGCGGGAGTTCCCCGATTCCCGCCCCCCAAAGTGGGGAGATGGGAGAGGGGGAAGCCTGGGAGTGTTTTTGGGGTGAGTGTTGGGGCTGTCGGGGGGCAGAGTGCTGGGGAAGGGGGTTTTGGGGGATGCCAGGGCCGAGGAAAGGGGAGTGCGGGGCTCTGGAGAGGTGGGATGGGGGGTCCGGGGAGATCCCCTGGCCAGGGGTCGGCGGTGTGGGGGAAAGGGAGGTGCTGGGGGTCGGGAGAATGGCCAGAACCCGGGGTTCAGGGGGTCCCCCCGTGTTCCAAAGAAAAGGGTCCTGTGGGTTGTGGAAAAGGCAGGCCTGGGGGTGCAGGGGGTAGCAGCGTGAAGGAAAAGCAGGGCCTGGGGGCTGGGAGAGGCGGGCTGGGCGGGAAAGGGGGTTGCAGGGGGGTCTTAGTGCAGAATAAGGGGGTGCCAGGGGGTTCCTGTGGCCAGGAATGGGGGTTTGGGGTGTCCCAGAGGGAAGGCAAAAGGGGGGATGTAGAGACTGGGAGAGGAGGCCCAGGGGGTCTCTCGGGTCCTTGTGTCCAGGAAAGGAGGGTGCAGGGGCCTCCAGTGTGAGGGAAAGGGGGTTCAGTGGGTGGGGAGAGCCGGGATGTGCAGGAAGGGCAGTTCAGGGGGTGCCGGGTGTTGAGGAAAGGAGGGGTTGGGGAGTGGGAAAGGCAGGAGTGGGGGTGGAGGGGGTGGCAGGGTGAAGGAGAAGGGAGGGTGTGGGGACTTGGAGAGGTGGGATGGCTGGGAAAGGGGGTGCAGGGGGGTCCTGGAGCTGAGGAAGGGGGTGAGAGTCCCAGTGGTGGAGAGGAGGTGCAGGGAGGTCCTGATGGGCAGGAATGGGGGTCCAGGGAGTGCCAGGGTAAAGGAAAAGGGAGTCTGGGAGAGGTGGGGTGGCCGGGAAAGGGGGTTCAGGGGGTTCTGGAGCTGGGGAATTGGGTGCAGGGGGTGGTGATCTGGATAAGGGGGTGCAGGGGGGATCTGATGTCTAGGAATGAGGCGTTCAGGGGGTCCCTGGGCCACTCTAGGACTGCCCTGCAGGATAAGGCAGGAGTGGGTAAGTGGGGAGACAGGGAGATTTGGGAGTCAGGGTGGTCCCAGGGTCAAGGAAAGGGAGAAACGAGGAGAGCTGTGAGAACTGGGAAGGGGCTCCAGGGGGTCTCGGGGTCAAGGAAAAGGGGGCCTGGGGGTGAGGTGGGGTGGGATGGCCAGGAATGGGGGGCCAGGGGTCCCAGGGTGAAGGAAACAAGAAGATCGAGGGACTGGGAGAGGTGAGATGGTGAGGAAAGTGGGAACAGAGGGGTCCTGGAATCAAAGAAAGAAGGGTGTGGGATCTGGAAAACTGGGACTGGCCAGGCAGTGGGGGCTGCTGAGACCCCCGGAGTGGGGAGAGCAGAGAGGGGCGATCCCGGCACCGCGGGACCCCCGTCAGCCTGGAGGGAGGGGGGAACCTGCAGAGAGGGGAGGGTTGGGAGTGCAGGAACCCTGCAATGGGGGCCTGGAGAGGGGGTACCCTTGGGAGCCCTGGGACACTGAAGTGGGGAGCCCGGAGAAGGGAGAGTGCTGGGACCCCCGTGAGCCCAGCCAGGGGGACCCCAGAGAAAGGGGAGCCCAGAGAAGGGGGACCCCTGTGATTTCTGGGACCCACAGCAGCGTGGAGAGGGGGAGACCCCAGAGAGGTGGGACCCCTGAGAGCCCCAGCACCCCAAAGCAAAGAGTCAGGGGAGAAAGGACCCCTGAGGCCTCCAAAACCCCCCTCATCCCTAAGCAGGGGGACCCTGGAGAGGGGGAACTGCAGGACCTCCAGCAGCCCAGAGAAGGGGGTCCCCCAGAATACCAAAGTGGGAAGACCCCTGGGATTCCTGGGACCCTCAGCAACCCAGAGAGGGCGGGACCCTCGAGAGGGGGGACCCCCAATACACGTGGGACCCCCAGCAGCTGAAAGAGGGGGGACCCCCAGAACCCCAAAGTGGAGAGACTTGAGAGGGGGAACTCCTGGAAGGGTTTTTTTGGTCTGAGCCTTGGAGTTCTGGTTTTTTTTTTTGAAACTTGATGTTTAGGAGGTTTTTATGGACACAGGGTGCCCAGTGACTTCTAGAGATGGACTTGGGCGGGAGGAACCCCCAACCCAACACGCTCAGCCCTTGTTTTTCCCCCCACAGCAGGATTTCTCCTTCCCAAAGCTTGGCCAGATGAAGGAGGCTGTGAGGAAGAGGAAGATGCCACGGGCCCCCTGGGCAGGTGAGGAGGAAGTCAGTCCCCCTTTGCCCTGTCTTGTCCTGTATCTCCCAGCCCAGCATCGCCCCCGGCTGCAGGACAACCCCGCTGCCGCCGCCGTCCTGCCGGGGCCAGATTTGGGGGGATGTCCTTGGCCTTCCCTCTGGACCGGAGGCAAATCCCCTCCCTGTCCTTCCTTCCACTCCTTGTTCCTTTTCCTTCCTTCTTCCTTCTCCTTGTTCCTCCCTCTCTTTCCTCCTTATGTTTTTTCCTTTCTCTCCTTCTTCCTTCTCCTTCCTTTCTCTCCTTTCTCCTTTTTCTTTGTTCTGTCTTCTCCTTCCTTTTCATCATTCCTTGTCTCCTTGCTCCTTCCTTCTCTCAGGATCAGCATGGCCAGCAGGACCAGGGCAGTGGTTCTTGCCCTGTACTTGGCACTGGTGAGGCCACACCTCGAGTGCTGTGTCCAGTTCTGGGCCTTCTTCTTCTTTCCTTCTTCTTGCTTCCTCTCCTTGTTGCTTTTTCTTCTTGTTCTTTCCCTTCATATTCCTTCCTCTCCTTTTTCCTTCTCTTCCCTCCTTCCTCTCCATCTTCCTTCTCCTCCCCTTCCCTCTGGGCCGGAGGCAAATCCCCTCCCTGTCCTTCCTTCCTGCCCCAGGCCCCGAGCTGAGGACGGAGGGCACGGAGGACAAATCCCCCCGGCAGACCCTGGTGGGAGAGGCCGTTTTGAAGGGCTCCACGGCGCAGGAAGGCAGTGGGGAGGAAAAGGGCAGGAGATCCCTCAGGAGGAGGGGCTCCAAAGCCAGCCCAGGGTGCTCTGAGGAGGAAAGACCCAGCCTGTGCTGGGAAAGCGCCCGCAGCTTGAGCCACAGCTCTGAGCTGGTGGTCCCTGAGCAGCCTCCCAGCAGGGAGAAGCCCTTCATGTGCTTGGAATGTG